CATTTCCCAGTTTTTATAGGAACTTCTGTAACCAGAAACAATGGTATCTCCAATTATAGCCCCTCTGGGATGTAAAATATATCTCTTCTCACCATCCCCATAGTGTATGAGACAAATGTATGCATTTCGATTAGGGTCGTATTCTATGGTTACGATTCTACCATATATGTCTTTTTCATTCCGTCGAAAATCGATTTTACGGTATAGACGCTTATGACTCCCCCTCTATGCCTTGCGGTAATGATCCTCGCATGGGGTAGTGGCGGTGGTGATGGTGCATCCAGATCTAATGGTCGAAGAGGGGGTTGTATCTGCAAGAATCTCTCCCAAGACCAAACCTAATATTCATTGTGGACGTAAAATTTGTATTTTAATACATATATAATATTCCTAAAAAAATTGACAATGATTATCACCTGTAGAAGCGGAAGGAATCCAGCAACGTCTCTCACGCTATCCATCGACGCCCTACATAACTGCCTATACAGGTACGCTAGAACGGCACCGCCCCACTGTACAGCGGTAAGTCGTCTAGCCGCTCCAGATGCGCCAAGAAACGTAAGCTCACGAGGTTTCCTGATGTGTTCGGGAAAAAAATCCCACCAAATATCATCAACAACAATAGCCTAAACTGCTGCTCAATACACTCATTCGGGGTCTGATCTGTGATGTGCTCATGTAATGCCTCCAAATGCTGCTTAACAAGCAATAACTGTAACCGGCTAACCCCACTAATAGCAGTCTCCTCAGCCGGACGGAATCCCGTGAGCCTCTCCAACAGCTGTAGATACTCGAGCCTCCTAAACTCCCTAATCGCAGGCGGGGAATGTACCGCAAGACCGTCAATGGACAATCCAAACATAACCTCCACATCCTGTAGCGCGTGATGGTGGCCTCGCCGGTGGGCAAATGAAATGTGTGTGTCTCCGGACTCCAATGCTCGATCAAAGCCGTGATCAACGGCCAGTCGGATTGTAACCGACCGACCTCTATAACTAGGTAAATACCAGTCCGAGTCAGGCACTCGACAGTACGATGATGTAGTGGGTGCTCCCTGATAAGCTCCCAAAATTCGTCAATGCGTCGTGGCGGAAGTTCTAACTAAGTAAATCTCCATCCCATATACGCGAAGACCTATGGCCCGCCTGTAGCGTAAGTAGCTCACGTGAAATGGGTCCGGGATGAACACTTGGTCGATCCATGATGATGTCTGTATATTGAATAATGTTAATTAAACGTATGATTATCTTACTTTTTTCATAGCGAAGGTTTTTATTTATTACTCTTGTTTGAGAGTATAAGGAATGTTATTTAAGCATATGGAGTATTATTTATCTTTTATTTAATTCATAACGATTTATACGTTAGTTTTTTGATTTGACGTTAAGAGTAACCTTTGTACTGATAACTATCCAAATTTTTTATTCGTCAGTCAAAGAACCGTACAATATTTTATTTATTTAACCTATCGGGATATCTTGAAATATTTAATTGATTAGTTTAATATGGAATATTATTTATTCTTTTTTTAATTCATAACGATATATACATTGGTTTTTAGATTTTACGACAAAAAGTCAGTAGAGTCACCTTACTGACAACTATTCAATTTTTATTGTCATTTAAAGAATCCTAAAATATTTTATTTTTTTAACTTATCGGGATATCTTGAAATATTTTTATTAACTAATTTGATATGAAGTATTATGCATCGTTTATTTAATTCATAATGGTTTATACATTAATGTTTTTGATTTAACGATAAAAATTCGGCAGAGCCTTCTTTGTACTGGCAACTACGAAAATTTATATTCGTTAGTCAAAGAACACTAAAATATTTTACTTGTTTAACTTATCAGAATATCTTGAAAATTTTTATTAGTTAATTTGATACAAAGTATTATTTATTATTTATTTAATTCATAACGGTTTATAGGTTAGTTTTTTGAATTTCACGTAAAAAAGTTGGCAGGATCTCCTTTAAACTGACAACTATTCAATTTTTCATTCGACAATCATATAATCCTAAAATATGTTATTTGTTTAACTTATCGTATTGTGATTGATAAGTATATGATTATACTTTTAGTTCAACAACTGAAATACAACAAAGGGCTAAGGTTTTTTTTTTTTTTT